CCCCCCCCAGCCCCCCTCCTGCCACCTGCCCCTCACTGCCAGCGCGGGGTGGACATTCGCGCTTCATCTCCCAGGCCCCGCGGGTCATTTTTGCGTAACGAAATCGTTTTATGAGCTGTGGTGCTTTCTAAAGGCCTCTGTAATTTGGCTGCTTGCCCCTGCAGTGCACTTCTCAACGTGCTGCAAATGCCACCTCGGCTGGGCTTTGTGTTGCTCCCGTCAGATTTTCACTGGCGCTTGTCTAAGGTGGGCTCTGATTTCTCTCTTTCTCTCTCTCTTTTTGTCTTTTTTTTTGTGTTCTGTTTGTTTATTTGCTTTCCAGGTATTAGTTAATATTGGCAACCATTTTGATCTTGCTTCCAGTATATTTGTAGCACCAAGAAAAGGGATATATAGTTTCAGTTTCCACGTGGTCAAGGTCTATAACAGACAAACCATCCAGGTGGGTTGTGATCTACAGAAGGTGCTGTCTTTCCTTTCCTTTTTTTTGTGTTTTTTTTTTCCCCACCCCCCAAATGCTTATTTCTAGACACTGAGGTGCATTTGTAAAACCAGCGTGTGAAGAACGAGCCTGTAGATGATTTCAGATAGAGGGGTCTGTGTGCATGATGGAAATCACGCACCGCCTCAGCTTAATGCAGCCCTGATTCTGACCCGCACGGACGCTGAGTGATGGGCACAGGGCAAAAAAAAAGAAAAAGTCCTTGAGAGCAGTGAGAAAACTCAGCTTCTCTCTCTTTGCACTTTTTAGGTAAGTTTAATGCAAAACGGCTACCCAGTGATTTCAGCTTTTGCAGGGGATCAGGACGTCACCAGAGAAGCCGCCAGCAATGGGGTCTTGCTCCACATGGAAAGAGAAGACAAAGTCCACCTCAAACTGGAAAGGGGCAACCTCATGGGAGGGTGGAAATACTCGACCTTTTCCGGCTTCTTAGTCTTTCCGCTATAAAAGAAGGCCAAACAGGAGACAGACCCATGAGCCAGGCGGAGCAAGGATTCAGTCGTTAACGTCACCCTGAACTTGGCAGCACATGACAATATTTCCAGTCACCCCGTCCGACTGGCACGGTAGAAGAACGATAACCTTCTCCACTCCAACATTTGCTTCGAGTATTGACAATTCCTCGGGAACCTGCGCCTCTAATTAGTTTTAGACGACAGTGATCTTTAGGAGAGATGAAATTATCGACCTGAGCAATTTGTACCTGTGATTGTAAAGTCAATTTCGGATTTAATTGTTGGGATCATTGACTTTCTTATTCTTTTTTTTTATTATTTTTTTTTTTCCTCTCCTTCATTTTTTCCTCCTTTTCTTTCTCTTGTTGTTGTCCCCAATGAGACAAATAACTCGGACCACAAAACCGCTTTGTCAAAGGCTCCCTCCGGAGCCAGAAGAGTGAAGTGTTCAGCCCAATGAGGTGTTCTTTCCATGCTTTATTTCTTTGTGTTGTATAGCCTTAAGGAAAAAAGAAAAAAAAAAAAGAAAAAAAAAGAAAAAAAAAAAAGGAACAAAAAAAGAATGGCTTCAGTCTCAGTCCTGTATTTTTCTGGGGGAGGGGGTTTCTGGACATTACTGTGTCAAGAAGTGCTTTATCCAGTGAAGCAAAATTTGCACGATTGGAACCTTATTTGTTTTGTGTTGTTCGTGTTTTTCATCGACTTCTTCTTTTTCCTGATTTTTGTTTGTGTGTGCTAAAAATGTAAGCTAGATTGATCGATAAGACAAAACCAAGCACATATATACCCTGTAGCTCTAAGTAAAGCTAACCAGTGAACAATTCTGTCCGCACTTTCCAGCTGATCTTTATAGACCTATTTAGAGAGAGAGAACGAGGGAGAAAGAGCGAGAGCTACATGATCCTTCAATTACAATCTGGAAACCGGTAAAGGAACTGACATTTCTGAATTGTCCTGACATTTCTAGAAGCAACAATGGAGGCTTTGAATATCTTCTCTGACCATACCCTAAAATATATCCTTTCTTTGCATTACCGAGCGTATTTTGGGTGCTTTTCTCTGATATTTATTTGATATATTTGTCCACTAATGCTTGAGTACACGTTGTCGGAGCACGGAGAGATGGCAGAGCAAACTCTTCCTCTTCCAAATGAAATAAAACCATCTCCACTTGACCTGTCCGTGGCGAGTGTCGGAGGAGTTGCCCCTGGCATCCTTGACAGCCTTTGGGAGAGGGGCCCAGAGGATCAGCAGATGCCCCCGCCGTTGCGCGGGTGCCGTGCGTTTACTGGCCGCGGGGGCTCTTCCCAGTGCGAGGGGCTGACGTCAGCCCTGGTGGTCAGGAAAGGTGCTTGCCCAGATCAACAAGAGGTAAAATATCAGCCCAGCGTCAGTCCCATCCTTTTGCCTCATGCTCAATAAACAGATCTCGTTCCTTCCCTTTTTTTTTAATGAAGGCTGCTGTATTAGTGTGTTGAGGAAAACCTTGCTTGAGGAGAGCCAGGAGGAATGATTATGTTGTTTTATATGATTTTTTTATCTTCATTTATTTAATTTGAAGTATTTCATCTTGCTATCAATCCCACAAGGGTGGATGTGTATAAGAATTTATTTTTGTCAAATTTACTCCTCTGCCACGAAGAAATATAACGCAAAGGCATTTGCAGCAAATTGGTGGTGGCTATGTTGTATTTCAAAATTACGGTGGACGTGTCATTTTCATTGTAAATTTATCATTAAAGGGACAAAGTCAATTAAAGTCATATATTCTTAAAAAAAAAAAAAATTACCTGTGTTGCTTATGATAGCGCAGATGACTGAAACATAAGCCAATTTAATGTTTCCGTGCATTTTCACCACTGATGCTGGTTGTTTGCTTTGGCGTTTCACCGTGCTGGTTACTGAATGAATGGCTTTCGGGTTTGTTTTTTGACGGGTCGCATTCTGTAGTTCCCCCTTGTGCATTGGCATGACTGCAGTGTTTCTAGCTGCAAAATATCACAGGGCTGTGTTTAAATACATAAAGTAAATACCTGAGTTAGCAGCAATATTTTTCTATTAAAATACAACAATAGTTATGAAAACAGCTGTCTTAACGGTAGATACTGTAAAACTGCTTTTAAATCTTAAGTCTCTGCGTTTCAAACTTGATCACCTCTCAAGAAAATAGACGCCGAGGTGGGTTCAAGGTCCCAAGTTTTCAGTTTCTATTACGTTTCCCTGGCCTTATTTTGAAATTCTGCCCACCGTAATCACTTTCAGTTGTCCCATTTATCTCAGTTCATCTGGTGTCCAAGCAAGACAATGACATCCTCGTTCTGGCTCTCTACTGAGCCAAATGAGGCCAATGACAAGGTTTTCCTTGGACATACTCTTGGAATTTTCTTAAGCCACTGAAGCTGCAGAATCTGAATATCCCGCTTCATGGATCCAAGTTCAGTAATTTTGACCATGCCTGTTATATGAAGCTCAATACGTTGGTAGGATAACCAACCTTCTGAATGTAAAGGTCTCTAATACACTGCCTCTCCTCTTCTGCTTGGGTGTCCTTCCTGCTAAGCTGTAGAGTTAGAGCTGTCATATATAGTTAAACCAAATGGCAACTGGGCAGTAAATTCTTATTTTACACTTATTACAATTGTGGTGCCTTTTTTTTTTTTTTTTTAATGTTATTTACAATATTGATTCCCTTTCCCCTTTTACTTAATTTTGTATCTGAGTTTGGGAAGGTGCAATCTACTTGTCATTGGAAAGAGCAGGCATTTTGCTATCAGGAGTGGATATCACGGTATATTTTACGTTAGAGGAGGACAATGTGCAACGGCAGCCCTGCAGAACGCTGCAAGACATGCTGTGTGAGACCACTCCCCGGAGCGGCCCAGCACACGAGGAGTAGCCTTAGCTAAAGTACAGAAATAAACGCCCCGGGCGACATTCAGAGTTGGTGTAAATTCAGTGTTGAGGGGCACCGGGAGAGTTGGTGAGTGTAAAGCACGCGTGGCAGTGAAGCGGGCCATTCCCAGGGTAGCGGCCCTGGTTCCTGCGGCAGCAATAACCAATATTCCTTCCAACAGCTTTCCGGCTTTCCCATAAGCTGCTGTGTAACACGATCGTAAGATATTCCTACGAACCACGGCCTGTTTGACTGTTTCCCTTCCAGGGAACCATCTTCACCTGGGTGTTTTGGGGGATCCACTGTTCACACGTTTCGTCCGCGTGCCTTTGGCAGGGCAGAAACCAGGGCCTGCCTCAGGAGTGATAAACACGTCGCATACACGCTGTTGCCTTCCTCTAGGTTTTCCAGGTTTATATCCGTAGTTTGAACACGGTCTTGCAAAAACCGGTGTGCTCTCACCTGCCCCCAAGGCGACGGGTGGGACGGGTGGGCAGTGTCTCGCATCGCTGGTCGGCGTCTTGCAAGATGGATCCGTTTACTTGGGGTGGGAGGAGGAGAGAGACAGAGGTGCCAAACTAGGGAGCTGTTTAGAAGTTACCTCATGTTTGTTGGCTGTGACTTTTTTTAACTTTTAGAAAGAACATTTCGGTTTCGTCGACCAAATTTGTATCTCGGCCAATCTGTCAAAGTAGAAGATAGGCTGGAAGGGCTTGTTGACCGATGGGGTTGTTCAGAAACAGCTGAGAGTGGATTTGTAACGTGACATTCTTTGCCAGAATAGGCGGGGTCACAGGTAGCATTGTTTAAAAATAGCTGTTATAATTAACAGTCTCCTTCAACCCAGGATAACTTTCTAGTGTTAGCATGCACTCAAATATCAGTGTCACTAATATCCGTCAGAATTTCCATGGATAATGACCTGTCAGCTGAAGTCCATTAAACAGTCACACCTAACTGAAGAAAAACAATGGATTCACCTGTTTTTATTTCCTGTTGAAAGGCCAAGGAATGTCTTCGGGGCAATGCAGAGCTTCTGGATTTGGAACCACACACTGTCTTGAACAACCGTTCCAGGCTCACGTTTGACGAGCCATGCCCACTTTTCATCATGGTGGTAAATGATAACGATTCATTGCAAAATCCCCATTTTCTTAACAGAGGAGATCCTTCTGTTTGACTTGTCTTCATCTGTCAGAACGCTCCAACCAGAGCCATGTGGCTCCTGGCCACCTGTTAACTAGGTCACACCAGGAGGGGATAAACCCCTGAGGATTTGTGACACCCATCGCCACTCCAGCTAGACACAGAGTAGGCGGCTGGGCGGGTGATAGGGAAACCTTTCAATCAGCTGCTTATGTGATCAAGTATCAGCGGAATTCAGGCACTCCACAGTAAAATAAATATATTGTCATTCCAACAAAGAGCCTAATCCTGGTTGGTTTTCTTCCTTCAGTAAAGTCCATTCCTCAATAGAGAAGCTTCTGAAAAACATCAGTAGGATTTGGCCAGAATTGTAGGGGTTGGATTTTGGTCATGATCTACTTTATAATTCAGTGACAATAATCGCTGCAAACCCGTGGTTAACACCATAATCATTCGTCACTTTAAATGTGTTTTAACTCTAATCATAATTCTGATAATCTAATCAAAACCCTACAAATACAATTTGAATGCATGTTTTAAATCTAGTCTCAAAAGAGTAATGTTTATGGTCTTATCCAACATAATCATGATCTTTTTTCTTATTAGCCATTATCAATAAAATCCAAAGACCACTAATTGTATTGTATACTACTTGAGTGTAATTATGAAAATACACTTCTCATACCGAGTATATCTCACATACCCCGTGTCTTCCCAGGTGATACACACTGAAGTATTTTGTGAACCCCTTCTGCTATTCATCAGCAAAATAAAGGTGCTTAAGTTGCTGGATCTCTGCAGGTCAGGTGCCACAGATAATATAAATAACAGCCTAGCAAGACATGGAGAAGCAAATAATGAGTACTACTACACATTCTAAATTTAAAAAAAAAAAAAAAAAAACAAATATCTGCATCCACAGAAATTCAGGCTGTATTGGCAAATGCTCCAAAGCTCTGGAAATACTGAAGTTAAGTTTACTGTTAATGTTACTGACTGATACTACTTCCATTGCTATCATGAGGTGTTATTTTTACTATGGGAACTTGAAAAAGAACTTAAATTATTTTGTGAGATCAGCTGTGTTAAAAGACTGGTTCAGAGCATTGATATAATGACTCAACAGAAACTTCAGATCATCAATTAGTAATTAGCGGTTATTACGTGACATTCTCATTACACCTGATACATGTCAATTATCTGAAACCACTTCTTTGAAATGCTTTTGTTTCTCCGTGTGTGCATATACACGCAGGTACCCACACGTGTATATACGTGCCCATGCGCAGAAAACACACTTTTTTAGCTAGCAATGGATGGACCTTTTTGTATAGAGCTCAGCCTTCCTTTCTCTGAAGCATTACCCCAACAAATTAACTCTTACCTCGTTTATTCTCATCCTAAACCTCAACCTGTTAATCTTTGCTTACATCCAAAAGAGCAGAGAGTCGTAGCACTGGCAGTGTGCATCTC